ATATATAAATCATAATTCCACTGTACCCAATGTTCAATGTTATCATTACCCCTTGAAATTAGCTTTCTTACAGAAATTTGGTGTTCCTTTAAAAAGCTTACAGGATGAAAGAGGAATTACCAGTCAATAGCAGATGAACATTAGTTGACTGTAATATGTAAAATACTCAATGCTTTGTACACTATACAATATGTATCTTAAGGGAGCCAATCCCTATGTTATGTACGAAGTGAAGGAGTTAAAAGAAAAAATCAATACACTTAATATTAAATTTTATTACACACATACATAAAATACACTAACTGTCATTCACGTGAAAAAATGTCATAAAGTAATAAAAAGAAAGAAACTGTAAGGTACTTCAATAACTTGAAAAGGGTTGTTGGAAAATAAACAAACTTTAGAAAGTTCCTTATTGATGAATAGTTAACAAATTGTATTTGTGTTGTTCCACTTCTCAGTAAAACACAAATATAAATGGCATATATTGATGTATACTACAATTTCAATAAATTACACTGAAGTAACAAAATATAAAAAAATCAGTGTATGTGTTACAGAACATGCATGGGAGAAATGTGTTTGTTTCTCCTAGATGGCAAGCATCTCCTTACACTGTAAGCTAACCACAAGTTCAATAATAGCCGCCTCTACTGTACGAAATAATGACCAGTTGCATGTAACTTTTCTCACTGTGAGTGGTCTTGAACGAAGTGTAGCTGGTAGACTTAGTTTACTCACCATAACTCTCATGCAGCTATAATAAAGTAGAGAACCGAGTTATTAGTGTTTTCAAATAATCACCAAGTAATGTTAAACATGACTTTACCACATACTTGAATATATGAAAATGCTAGTTGACCCTTAATATTATACAAGATATGTATATAAAAGAAACTCGGCCATTTCAGCGAGCTAATTATCTCATCTGTCTAACTCTAAAATATTGTTGGCAGTCAAACAAATATGTGAGAAAGTATTAAATACACTCACAGTTTATAATCGTAAAGAAATAGAAAGATACACTATAATCTTGAATAGTACATATAAAATAAAGTTAACTATACTTCTTCTTGTGTTATTTATCATTATTTATTTCATTGTACTTCTCCTCTTTCACGGTTACTAGCAGGCTTCATTAGGTCTGAAAAGTTGTATAAACAGAATATACTTTCTTGGTAATTGCACACCTTTATTTTTTGATGGTTATCATTACTGAGCAGGCACATTGTTCATGCTAGTAAGTGGACAATGTAACTGTAACTTGCCTCAGAATACGTGACCTTGTGATCTATCATACTAGTATAGTATAGGGTGTGTAATTAATTTTACTAATACACGAGTGCCAGTAAAGGAAACTATAGCTGAATCAAATTCAACAGAGTGAATTTTCCGATGCAAAGGAAGGAGTCCTTCCAATTTGTACAAAGTAAGCTGTTACCTCCTCACTCAATTTATTTATTTTGTGCAAAATTTCGTGACTAACATGTGACCTTGTTTAGGTATCATCACACATGAAAATGTCAACACCAAACTGGTTTCTCTCGTAGAGGAAATGTATAAAGTAATTTGAGTTGAATATATTTTTTGGTTTTTTTTGTTTTTTTTTCAAATAAAGAAGACAGCACATAATCCCAAGTTCGTATCTTTTTTCGTGTTTTCAATGAAAATTACCATCTTTTTTGTTGGTTACTATTTCAGAAAATGTGATGTTTTAGCAACAGAAGCAAAAACAAGATGTTATAATAACTGATTGAAGTTATAATTTTGGTTGATGTTGGGTAGCATCAATAGTTGAGTTAAACAGAAGGATATGATAAAGTAATTACTACGGGCAAACAAGGTAATGAATGGATATATACGAAAGTTATGGAAAGTCAAATAATTTGCAAAATCAACCAGTAAAAACTGAAAAGGCTAATCAAAGGGGCAAAGGATTCACATTTAATTCTGAAATGATAAAACAGCTAGTTTCTAGTACCTATTTCCAACATTTGGGCTTCTCTTATGTGATGAAAAAAAAGGTATCAGGTACACGGTTTGGGTTTATAAAGTACAAATATATAACTACATTTCTTTTGAAACAAAAATTAAGTGTAAAATCATTATAAAAAATGCACACATTAGTTTTAAACACAAAGGAATGAACAAATTAGTTTGCATTCACATAGAAAAAAAATTCAAAAAGTAGGGCTATTTCTAAAATGAGTTTACTTCAGAAACTAGTAATAATTTTGGGTCCCCAAAAATATATTTCAAAAACTTAATATTATAGCATAAAATATTTCTTACAATAATATAAAGTGTCAATATTAAGTGGAATATTACTGACAGTATTACTCTTTGAACACAAAAATATATGCCTACAGCCAATAAGGAGAAGATAGGCCAAAATTAATGTTTGCTTGTGGGAGGAATATTAGCTGATTAAAATATTATATTAATGTTTCTATTATAGATTATATTTACTTATTTAACTTAAATTTCTGTATTTATTACTAATTGTTCTATTTATTTAAATAATCATATTTATATAGAGATACTAATTTTAATGGCAATGAATAACAAAAATGGAATGTTAGAAAATCAAAGTTTAAAATTAAACATATTTTATACACTGCACACAACAATTAAGAATAATTTCAAATTTGTAATATTATAGCTCTAACAATCCAAACCAACAGTTATAGAAAATTATTCATCCCACCCCCTCCAGTTTATTGTTATAAAAATCAAGTGTCAGATGGTCATTCAGTCAGTGCAATATATAATGGCCTTACAAAATCTTGTTGTAACTGTCACTATCAATGTGAGCCCAGATACCAAGTACTAATGTGAATATTTTCCTTGTAAGTAGATCCATCCACCACATGAACAGAAACTGGCCTATCTCTGCAGATTATTGCAACTCAATTACAAGTCTTGAAGTGTTAACAGTATGTAGAAATGCTTCCAAACCAATGGTAAAATTGCTCAAACACTTGAAAATGCAGACCATCATCCAAAAAACAAGCAGCTGACTGCTATCTCTCAATTCTGACTCACTTTAATAATAGGGTACCAGCTCTGAAAATAGGTTAAATGTTCACAGTTGTAACTGTAAGCTGTGTCAACGTACACACTTTACAAGGCTGGCCTGTATGCCAGTTGCCCAATTAGGTGCATTCCACTCACAGCAAAGCCCAAAATAGCTCATCTGGATTGATACCAAGAACACATCCATTGGACCAAAGTCACTTAGAGCAATTTTTTTTTTTTACAGGTAAGTTACATTTCACACTGCAGCCAGACAACAGGCATATACTCATTTAAAGATAATCTGGACCTAAATGCAACCTCATTTGCAAATAGGAGCATGATTTATATGATGGTAGAAATACATCTCTCTCCACATCTTCCAAAATGAAACCATTATTGCCACATATAGAGGGAACACATCCTACTATCATTTGTGCTCCAATATCCTTATGCAACTGACCTTACTTCAGCATAATGGACGTTATTGCCCAATAAGATCATGTTTAATTGGACAACATGCTTCCTAAAGAAAAAATAATTAAGAAAATGGAGAAAACTAGCTTGAGCATGTATTGGATGCTTTTAAGAGAGATATCACATCCCATCAAATGACTCCAGACACAAGTATGTCCTAGACAAAGCTATTTTGGAGAAATGGTTAAAAATGCCTTAGAACCTTATCTACACACTGATTTCAACCATGCAATGTCAGTGCCAGTCTACCTTTGATATTTCTGGTATCCATTTTTCATACTAAAGTGAAATTTCATGAAATGTAAAGCCAACTCTATTAAAAGTTCATTGACCAATCATTTGCATTCAAGATAACATGATGGATCATCACATGCCTGATTTATGTAAAAGTTAACATTATTTTATAACAGTGGTTTTATCTTGTCTTAGCTAAGGTATTAAAATGATACATTTCCAGTCACTGCCATTAGTTTGAATTCCAAACACTATTGAAGCCTTACTTTCCTGTTTGCATCCAAGTGATTTTCAAAGTATCTATTGACCGCTTATAACATGTTTCAACTGGAAAAATTAAAAACAAAAGAATCCTAATCATTTTTGCACTTTAACAAGTCTGTCTAATCCTATTTTCCCTTGATTTGTAACCAGTAGGAGGTTGATACATTTCAAATGCTACCGATAATAAACTTTGACGACAGGTGTTTTTGAATGATCAATCAAAGACACATTGTTAGGTAATAATACTCCTGCTAGATGGGATCATGTGCCTAATACAATTGGGGAAAACCTTGATTTTGCCTTGCATACTAACCACAATATACCTACATTTCTGCACTTAAACGGATCAAGCATATATCTGACACATGTTCTACCTTACATTTGAAAACACATCGAATGTCCTACAAATGGGTGTGTGTGTTGGGAATCATTGTAAAGTGACCATTTAGTTTATATTAATGAAACAATGATAAAAGTGCTCACTAGCACTTTCCAACAACATAAAATAGTCTTGAAATCGCTAACACAAAAATATGTGTCTTAAAAAAGTTCCACATATTAGACTTTTTCTATTTATGGTAGTACTAGACTACACTATCACTGGGTGCTCAGTCTTGCTGACCTAATTTTTAAGTCAAGATCAAATGTGTATAAAAAATTCAACATAGGCCTACCTGCTTCGATTAGTCCTTCACAGGGCATCGTATCACCAGAATACACTAGTTTCTTACCACTAACTGGTGTTAAAGTTACACCGAAGGCACTTTTACAGTGTTTTACTGGTACTGTAGACAACTAAGAAATATTAACAAAAAAAATTAAAACTGCAACTAAGTTTAAACAAACTATTTATTAATTTTCAAAAGCCTTATTTATAAAATATTCTTAAGGCTTACTCAAAGTTTTTGTTTTATTTTAAGCATAGGAAAATGTCAAGTTTTGAAAGAGTATACCAATTATACTTAAAATTTAGAATATCTGTTTAAAGCTATTAACTGACTTTTAAATATATGTTGTGTAATGTACAATTATTTATTGAAGTAATGATAATTTTTCACAGACAGTTTCACAAGTTTAAATTTAAAATAATTTAAATAAAGGTACAAAATTAACTGGATATGCTAAAAACATTAATCCCCTTCCAAATACTATTTGTAAACATATTTAATAGAAAAAATGTATATCATGTAATTTAATCACTTTTTAATTTAATTCACACACATATTGAAATACTTGCTTTTTGGCTCCATTATTTGAGTACTTACTAGACAAACACTTAGGTAAAAATTCCAACAGCTCAACAGAAATGAATATTTAACATGATGAAAGTTGAAGAATGTCTTTGGTTTATGTCTTTTACCTAGTCTATAAGCACATTAAACTGCATATTCTGCATATTCTGGAGAGAACAACCTTCTCTCAGGGCACAGTATCCAATGTTTTAACAGAAAATTTCATTGTTTTGTAATATCTACCTGTACCTTTAGTAAGATGGTAAATAAATACAAGGTGTTTAAAGTTGCTACTTGTTAAAATGTTTGATTAAAGAGAAGAATAATTACATGCAGAATGTATTGTTGGATAGCAAGTGTTTGTCTCAAGTGCAAAATGTACTTCAAAAGTGTCCTAAGTGAATGCATTAGTTGAAAGGAAGGTATGGTAGTACATACAATTATGTACATTATATAGCTAAAAGTACAACATGTGTATGATTATGTGAAATAAAATGTACGAG